GAGTTCTGGAGAGGGTGGAAGCTATGAAAATCTTCGTCTTACTGTGCAGGTGGGAGATGGAAGCGTTGAAGGAGAGGTGGTGCGGTGCAGGTGCGTTTGGTGGTGTGTGGCAACTGTCCTGAGTGGTGAAGGACCCGAGGTGGTGTAAGGGCAGGAGGGCAGGCAGGTGAGGCAAGGAGATGATCCTGAAAGCAGGCGGGTTAACCAGAATTCCAAGATGAGTGGTTCAGTGTGATGGAGTTTTCCTGGAGTAACTAGAACACGAGATTACAAAGTTAGTAGTAGAAGCGTGAGGCCTGGTTACCAACATAGGGTAGTTGACGAACTGGCGAGGAAGCAGCAGCAAGCAGCTTAAATCTCCAACCTGATTGCCTCAATCAGCTTCAGGTGAGGGGGGCTGTAGGCCGTGCCCATGGGTGGATACCAGGAGGTCCAGACCTTCAATGGAATTTTACAGCCACACACCCAGACCATGACAGATGCATGCTCAGTCATCCAGGTAAGGACTCACCTGTCACTTGGGTGAGTGACAAAACGTTCCTCCCACTATAAACGCTTCATCCAGATGAACGAAAGCAACTTTTTTGGATTGTATTGCAACGTACTGACAAATAAAACAAGGTTTGAAATGATAAATAACTTAACACCATGTGTTCTGTTGTAATTTGAGCAAAGACCTCCTCCCTTGCTTTGTCTACAGGATCTCAGGCGGGGAGCTGTTTGAGCGGATCATCGATGAAGACTTTGAGCTGACGGAGAGAGAGGTGATCAAATACATGCTGCAGATCATTGATGGGGTCAACTTCATCCACAAACAGGGCATCGTGCACCTCGACCTCAAACCAGAGAACATCATGTGCATCAACAAGACGGGCAGCAAAATCAAACTCATTGACTTCGGCCTCGCCAGACGGCTAGGTAACCTTAAACTTAATCGCTGATTTTCATTGAGTTCTGTTAGACGGGTGTGGAACGACAGCAGATAAACAGTTTGTCTGTGATCACACGGCCGATGCTTCCTCCCACAGAAAACGCAGGAACTCTGAAGGTTTTGTTCGGGACTCCAGAGTTTGTGGCTCCAGAGGTCATCAACTACGAACCCATCAGCTATCCCACCGACATGTGGAGCATAGGAGTCATCTGTTATATACTGTTAGTGCAGAGCTGCCTGCTACAATCTGTGCACGCTTTGTTTTGGCTTGATTTAGTTTGGCTGACGTTGTCGTGGGTTTGTCCTCTCAGGCTGAGTGGTCTGTCTCCCTTTATGGGCGACAATGACAACGAGACTCTGTCCAATGTGACCTCAGCCACCTGGGACTTTGAGGACGAAGCCTTCGATGAAATTTCTGACAATGCCAAAGACTTCATTACCAAACTGCTGAAAAAAGACATGAAGTAAGACCTAGTGCATCATCAGTGTGTTACATGAAACCATATTAGTAGGTAAACTGGAAACCAGGAGCTGAAAGTGTTATGTAAGAGAAAGTGTGCCAGTATTAATAATCCTGAAGTCTAGCTCATGTAAAGTGTTCCCGATCCATCTCCAGGGCTCGGCTGTCCTGCACGCAGTGTTTCGAACACCCCTGGCTGAAACAGGACACGAACACCATGAAGGCCAAGAAGCTCTCCAAGGAGAGGATGAAGAAGTACATCCTGAGGAGGAAGTGGCAGGTAAACACGAGGACAGACAGAGACCCAAGAGTCTCACAGGACAATAGAGATATATTTATTCACAAATCAGTATAAGTGACCATGCGGAGAATGCACGCACGTTTCAACTGGACGTGCTTGTTCACAGACACAGACAGACATCGTGCATCATCGAGTGAGATTTGGCGTTGTGTGGTCAAAGTGTCGTAGCGTGGAAGTGCCGAGGTCTCCGTTCACACGTACAACTCATTTTTGTTTGGGGTGTTTTTCATGGAAGTCCTTCATTTTCCCATTTGTTGCCCTTTTCAAGCCAAAATATTTCCAAATAGATGTTTTTATGTTTTTTCACTGGTAGTTCGACCGATAGCCTCAGTCGCTGCATCTGTCTTTGTATTTGTGTTGC